CACGAAACTTGAAGAACTTATGGTTAAAGATAAAAAGGTGACCCCAGGGGATGCTACCTTTGTCGAGCTACCAAGACAGATATCCTTAGAGCACAAAGGATCCATAATGGAAGTCTGGAAGGACCTCGAAAGATGCCCCAATGCATAGAGAGGAAACACGTATGAAAGAATAGACTTATTAGACACGAGATCTAATGTGGAAGGTGTCTAGCCAAAGATGTAAAAAAAAGGCGTTGTATGGGAGGCAACTCATGGTTTTTTTAATTTTTACACTTGCTTTTAACTATTTATTGGTTTCCCTATCAACATCTAAGCTCTTATCTACATTTTTCAGGATTTCCTACCCCTTATATGGAGCTTAAATGGACGCATTCACTTTTTTGACACATACATTGTAGGACCGCTCACCAATAACGGGAGTTACCTGTTTCCCCTTACCTTTTAATGTTTTTGAGTGTCTTCTACATAATGCATACATTGAGAAAAATATATGAACTAAGTGTGGGGTGGTGTCATTTGCATGATTTTGGGTATATAAATGTTTTTTATGGGTAATTTATTGCAATTAACTAGCAAAATTTTGTGCTTAAACATGGATAGTTGTCGATATGGACAATGTGTTGGCATGTTTTTAATGATCTTAAATTGTTGATAATAATGAGTTTAGATGCAAGTATAGCACAATTGAGCTTGTTTTATAGCATTTAGAGTCGATTACTGGTAGTATACCGGTCAATTTAGACTCTTGCTAATCTCTTCAACTAGCGTTATCCCTGTGAGACTTTGAGCGTTCTAGAGTAAACAATTTATACTAGTATCCATTTCATCTCATGTGTGATTACGTCGTTCCTAGCTATATGCCTTTAGAACTTGATTTGTCTCTCCTTAAGAGTACATGATATTTACATGCTAATAAATATGATAAAGGCCATCATTTGCTCATTTTTATGTTAACCAATTAGCCTCAAGCCTATCCTTTATGTTATGATTACGCTTTTTGCACACCACTCTGATCCTTAGACAATTTCTTTTCTCATCCATATATGAACCAATCCAAACATGACTCACCCGATCAATCACCAATAGAGTGGTATTGGTAACCCCATATGCTCGAAAATAAAACTATTTTGTTAGGGGAAAGAAAGAAAGAAAGAAATGAAAGAAAGAAATGAAAGAAAAAAAAAAGAGAAAAAGAGAAAAACTCTAAGAAAGAAAAAAATGAATAACTAATTTCTCCATTGGTATAAGGTCTTTAGCCACTCTTTTCTAAATATATCTCTACCTCATTCAAAGTCGTGGTTTACATTACACCCATAACAACCCTTTTGATTTATTTGCATATATTTTTATCCAAGTAGTGAAGGGTGAAATATTTTTCAAGCTTATGGTAAGTACATCCTAGTGTATTGATGGTTTAAGCGATATACTTTAACCCGAGAGTGTTGTTCTAATTTTCCTATTTGTGAGAATTATCGAGATTATCTTGTGTCTTTTTGATTGCGTATGCCTTTTAATGGATGGTAAGTTGAAAATCTCAAGTTCATGGTATTTTATATGTGTTGATGTTCTTGTTTGATTCATTTTTATCAATACATGCTAGCGTAAGTCAATATCTGGACGGATGATGATCTAAGTGTAGGATTATTTAATAAGTGATATTTTTTATACATTTCAATGTCAAAATGACCTAGCAATTAATTAATGTTAATTAGATAATTAAAATGTCTATTTTATTTAAGTTGTTATTTGATTATGTGTGACCATTTAAGTTGAGAAAAAAGAAAAGAAACAAAGTTTAAAATGTTTTCTTTTTGGTCATGTATTTCATTGCTTTTTAGAAGTTACTTGGTTGAGGGGTATAAAACCAATTAGAAATCTTCTACCTAAAGGAGGAATCAATGAAGGGAATCAAGAGGGAGAAAGTCAAGGACGATTTTGAAGAGGTTTGGAGTTTCCATCTAGGGTTCTTCATCAATTCTTCAATTGAATCATTTGCAAGTTTTAGGTTTCAGTATGAGTAGCTAATCTCTCAATTCCTAGCAATGGCTAGATAATGAACTTGGATGAATTGAGACTTGCACCATTATGCTACAATCATTTGATTTCATATATGCAATCTTTGTGCTTCAATCTTTGTCGTTTTTAAGTTAGAAACCATGAGCTGGACCCCTTGTTTTGTCTTGCTTGAATTTGATTTGCTAGAGGAATTTTAGAATACGTAACTATTCTTGATTTCTCTCCGTAGCAAGAAACCCTCAATTGATAAATGTGTTAGTTGTAAGTTTTGTAAGGTTGTATAATCTAACTCAAACAATCGGTGTCCGGTTGTTGGGTAGTTTTGATATTTGTTTAATCTTAATGCAATTGGCAGTCGAATTCCAAGTCTGTGATTGGATTAGATTAGCTGATTAGAGATTAGTTGGTGAAGCGTTTCATATGATTCATGCTTTTATAATAAACGGGACATTAACACGTATTGATGTTCAAGCCAATTTGAATTATTTTGAGAAAATATTATAATTGACTGAGTCGATGATGTATAATCTAAAGAATTAGTTGATTGATAACCATTGCTAGATTTCATCTTCTATTGCTTATAGTTTTAATCTTATTTGCATGCTTAGTTTCATAATCAACTATCCACTCACCCCCTCATTTTACATAAAGTGTAGAAGATTGACACCATCACATCCAAACTCTGTGAAATCGACCCTACTTGCCATTGTTGCGCAATTTTGGTTATAATTTGAGGTAATAGGATTCTATTATTTGTCGGGCTTAACACCTGTCATTAATGGTTTAACCTCGCAAAAGTCAACTAAATGTCGACTTATGTTGAACTTTCGGTCAACCTTAAAGTACCAAGTTCCATATACTAACTCGTAAAGTTAATTAAACACCTTTAAAATTGAATAAACTCACCAAAGGATCTTTGGCCTAGCGGTATGTGAGTCTTTGGTCTTCTAGGAGGTCAAGGATTCAAACCTCACCAAAGGTGAGGAGGGTGTGTGAGTTTATTTGTTCTATTTATCGTGTATAAATATTATATACTTCAAAAAAAATTTGAATAAACTCCTCTCGATATCTTGAAAATTTTAAATCGTTAAGTTACTTAAATGTAAATAACTAATAATTACTCCATTGGAACCAATTAGTTAAATAGTATTAACTTCCCAAACTAACAAATTTAGGAAATTAAATTAATTATTTAATAAACCTTAGAAATTCATCCCATCTAATTTATTTAAGTCAAATCTGATCCAAATAACAATATGTTTGAATCATATAGCCCAGTCGGTTAGACCTGGTTGTGCCACCCGACCCGTAGCAAAGGCTGCAGCGACAACCATCATTTTCGGGGTCGTTCACGTTGTTTCTAGTCCATTTCGTCCGATTCTTTTTGTTAAACTCAATTTAACAAAGTTACTAACAAAATAGAAACAAGAATCACCCTAAACAATTAAAAACTGAGGCTCGGCTTCGATCTAAAGTTTTTGGTTTTCCGAAAACACCTATTCATCCGGTTTTGTGAAAATGCTCGACCTCAAATCGGGTTTGGGACTCTCAAAACATATAAACTAATATTACTCGATAGTTAAATTCAAGAATGGGTCGGAATATTACTTTGATCTTCCACGAAAAAGTCAAAATGCATGTTTTCTCCCTTCGGTATTCGATATCTCCTTCACCTGGGCACCAAAATTGACCATTCCAAAAGTTGTTCTCTCCTTAGAAGTTCGTGGATAATTCCCTAAAAGGTTGGTCGAGCATTTCTTAGATAGAGCTGGTATTACGGAAAAATCTGATTTTTGGAAAATCTCCATTACATGCCTTCCTTTCATAACTTTCAGAATTTCACACATTAGGCCCCTCTCCCTTCCACTTCCCACATTTTTAGTCCAAATTTTCATTCTTATATAATAATTCATTCATTTAAAATAAACAAATGACATAATCCATCTCCATTAAAAACAACTACTTCTAATCGTTTTCTTTACAATTTTGAGTTTAAAATAAATAAAAATTTCTATTTATTTATTTCTTTTAACTCGGGCATTTATTTTTATAATTATTTGCTTACCCGGACCGTCACGCTCGACCCCGTGTACGGAAGATTCCTACGAAATTAAAGTTGGAGGTGTTACGCCTGAGCTTTGGGCCAAGTCATGTGGTTGGCTTGGAGAATCATTATAGGGATCAACTGGGTCACATAGAAGTGCGTTGGACATGAAGGATATCGTCTACTCCAGAATTTCAACCATTGCATCTTCCAGCTTCGAGTTGGTCATGAGGCGTTGGTTAAAGGCATTAGCATAAACGTCTAGGCCTGCAACTCAATGTATGGTTTCATCCTGAAGAGCTCTCTTCCTAATGATGAATGGCTTTGAGAAGGTTGGAGCATTGGAGGTTCTAGCCCTTTTCTTGCTTTTGTCTAGTTTCTAATAGTATTGCTCCGATTGACAGACCTCTGTTGAAGAATCAAAGATACAAAACACCAAAGTATACAAATAACTAACTTGTATAACAATTAATTGTGTCAAAGTACATCATACCAGGAAATAATAAAAAGAAACAATATAAATAGAAACAGAACCAACGCAACTAATAAAGACCAACAGATGCAACGCTTCAGGAACGATTTTAGCGGGAAGAGCATAACGACATAACGGTCAATAACGGGCAATAACGGCCGGATGATAAACCGTTAAATAACGGTTAACCAACGATATTTAGCTTATAACATTCCCCCATAAGCTAAACATCACAAACACCCAAATCCTTCTTCAATTTAACGAAACTCCCACGTTGTAGTGACTTTTTAAATATGTCAGCAACTTGATCCTTTGAGTTGCAAAACAGAACATCAACTTCATTGGTTTGGATGAGCTCTCTAATGAAGTGGAATTTGATCCTTATATGTTTGCTTTTCCCATGACACACAGGGTTCCTAGTCAAGACAATAACAGACTTATTATCACAATAAATCTGAGTAGCAGTACCTTGAGGAATCCCCAATTCTTCCAAGATCCCTCTAAGCCATAATGCTTGACAACCTGTAGATGAGAGTGCCATGCACTCAGCTTATGTGGAGGATAATGCCACAACCTTCTGTTTCTTAGATTGCCATGAGATTAGAGCAGAACCTAAACTAAATACATACCCAGTTGTGCTCCTGCTGTCCACGACACTTCCCCCATAATCACTATGACTGAAACCTACCAACTTGAAGTCATGAGTATGAGAATAAGTAATACCATGATTCAGTGTTCCTTTCACATACCTTAGAATTTGTTTAGCAGCCTGCCAATGTTCCTTCTTAGTATTTTCCATATACCTGCTAATTAAACTAACAGAAAACATTATATCCGGCCTTGTTGTTGTGAGGTACATGAGTCATCCAACAAGGCTACGATAAAGAGTAGAATATGCATCTTTTCCATCCTCCCCATTAGTGAGTTTTAACCCAAATTCCATGGGGGTAGCAACAGTAATACAGTCCTCCATGTTAAATCTTAGCAACAGATCTTTAGCATATTTCTTTTGAGAAATAGAGATGTAATGTTTACCTTGTGTTGCTTCAATCCCCAGAAAGTAATGCCATAGGCCCAAATCTGTCATTTCAAAGTTCTTCTTCATTGATTTTTTGAACTCATTTATCATTTCCAAGGAATTTCGTATAAAGACCAAATCATCCACATATATGCAAACCAAAATTATGGTGTTACCTACTTTCTTGATGAAGAGAGTATGTTCATAATTACTTCTTGAAACCATGATCAAAAAAATGTCCTTCAATTCTGCTGTACCAGGCCTGTTTTAGACCATAAAATGCCTTCATAAGATGGCAGACCTTATGTTTCTCACCCTTTCTCTTGTATCCACTTGGTTGATCCACATATACATTCTCTTCTAGATAACCATTTAAGAAAGCTGACTTGACACCCATTTGATGGACATACCAATTGTTTTGAGCAGCAATAGCCAAGACCAAGTGTATGGTTTCAAGTCTAATGACGGGAAAATACCTCTTGATAGTTGATTCCAAATTGTTGCTTGTAACCTTTCACTAGTCTGGCCTTATGCTTGTCAACTTCTCCCTTTTCATTGAATTTTGTCATATAAATCCATCTTACTCCTATGGATTTCTGTCTTTTGGGCAGATCCACCAACTCCCAAGTGTTGTTCTTCACAATTGATTTCATTTCATAGTCCATAGCATCTCTCCATTTATTATCCAGACAAGCTTCCTCATAATGCAATGGATTTGCATCAGCAAATAAAGCAAAATCAGCTAGATCACTTAAGTTGAGAGGTTGTGTATTACCATATAGATCCCTTAAACTCCTTGTTTTTCTGTTAGGACCATCTGATGAAGTTGAACTTCCAGAACTGGCATCTTCAGTGCTAGATGGTGTCTGATCAAGGGAACTTGGAGAAGGCATTCTCAATGGAGTGGTGGGATCATTCTGATCAAGACAGGCATCAGAATTGTTTTGATCATGGAGGTTTTCATTCAAGATATAACTTCCACTATCATCACAGGCCAGACCACTCCAAGACTTATCCTCATCAAATATGACATCCCTGCTTGTGATGACTTTCTTAGTCAGTGGATTATACAATTTATAAGCTTTAGTATTCTAGCTATAACCTACAAACACAACTTTTTCAGACTTCTCATCTAATTTTCCTCTCTTTTGTTTTGGTATATGAGCATATTCTATACACCCAAAGGTTCTCAAGTGATTCACACTTGGTTTAAAACCATTTCAGGCCTCTTGAGAAGTTTTATTTGAGAGACTTTTGGTGAAGGATCTATTGATCACGTAGGCTGCACAAGCAATTGCTTTTGCCCCAACTTGTCACAATAAGAACACTTAACTTGAGAGAAAGGCTTACCTCCACCTTTACCTTTGAAGTTTCCTGATCCTTGTTCCTCTTTGCTCACATCAATGCCTTTCTGTTTGTCACTTGTACTTGGCTCCCGAGATGACTGAGTTTGGAAAACATGTTCCATTACAGGTTCATCAAATTGTCTCATACGGAGTTCATGTGATTGAAGGGTGCCTAAAAAAGTTTCCAAAGAGAAATTTGATAGATCTTTGGATTCTTCTATGGCCACAACCACATACTCAAACTTTCTAGTGAGACTACGAAGTATTTTCTCAACCACCCTTCTATCATCGATGATTTCCCCATTTAACCTCATTTGATTCGGTAAAAAAATACCCTAGTGTAGTACTTTTCTATAGTTTCTGTTTTCTTCATCTTAAGATTGTCGAATTCACATCTTAAGGTTTGTAGCCTCACAATCTTCACCTTTTCTTTTCCTCTATAGGATTTGAACAACATCTCCCATGCCTCCTTAGTCGTCTGCGATGATGAAATTCTTTCGAATATATTGTCATCCACTGCCTGATATATCAAGAACAAGGCTCTCTTGTCTTTTCTCTTTGTTTCATTGAGAGCACTCGTTTGTTGTGCAGTAAGGGCAGTGGGTTTCCAAGTTCTGTGACCCCTTCTTCAATAATTGACCATAGATCTTGAGATTCAAACATTACCTTCATTTGAATACTCTAATGGAAGTAGTTTCTTCCATTAAATTTTGGCAACTGGGTTTGCGATTGTGGTTGCAAAACATTTAGAGACCTTGAAGCCATACGTTTATGGCTCTGATACCATTTGTTGAAGAATCAAAGATACAGAACACCAAAGTATACAAATAACTAACTTGTATAACAATTAATTGTGTCAAAGTACATCATACCAGGAAATAATAGAAAGAAACAATATAAATAGAAACAAAACCAACGCAACTAATAAAGACCAACAGATGCAACGCTTCAGGAACGATTTTGGCTGGAAGAGCATAACGACATAACGTTCAATAATGGTCAATAACGATCAATAACGGTCAGATGATAAACCGTTAAATAAGGGTTAACCAACTGTTTAGCTTATATTTTATCAACCTCATTGTGTGGGAGCGGTTAAGCTATCGGCCAGGGCAATTACACTAAATATATACATTTTAACTTAAACTAAAATGCAAATGACTAAATAAACATTAAAATATGTGCAATAAAACGATGTATCAAAATCCCCCATGGAAACTCTAAACAAGAAGCCGGGTGGAAGAAAATGCAAACCATGGCTTCCAAAAACATCAAAAGGAGTTAATATACGATCTCACTAAACAAAATCTAATGCTTCAGTTTTCCGATGTACGAATTCAACTTATTACCGCCTGTCGAATTAATAAAAATAGTAGAAAAAAAGTTATTTTACTGAAATGTCAGATAAACGCCAGACCAGACCAGGTTGTTATAATATCTTCCTACATTTCTTGTTTTATCTTCTATGACCTTTATCGGTCTTTAACATCATTCCGAAATTTAACTTTTGATTATTTTGAATCTATCCTCGAGCTCCCGGCTGTTTGGGTTGACAAACTGCATGATAAATGAAAATAGGTGTTACAGAAACAAATCATTTGATCCATACAGAACCAGAAAAAAATAATTATGTAAATGTTAATTTTGGCAGGCTTTCAAAGATCAGATGATATTCACCTCGAAATTTATTTCTGTTGTTGTAGTTTGCACCTTGACGTATCCAAACTCTTTAATCCGCACCAAGCTCCAACTGGCAGCCTGTGCATAATTTGATCAACGAATTAAACAAACGCATGGACGCACTTGTATGTCACCCAACAAAAAGCAGGAACTTTAGTTTTATCCTTACACCAGGGAGGAAACTTTTCAATGTAAATCCAGCCATTCCAATAGTCACATGAACAGGTGCTGCGTAGTTGGTGTTATTGTAAGTGTCAACTCCAGTTCCATCCCTAATTGGAATTTTTTTGCATTGCTTTTGATATACTGCACATGTTCTCTCATAGTTATGAACATGGCCAAACAGAGCCAAATCGACCTACATCAATCACCCATTTTTTCACCAAATCAGGATGATAGTTTCGTTATTAAAATGCTGTGAAATATTTATATAGGGCAAAGACATGCTGTGTTAAGATTTTACCTTGTATGCCAATAGCAATGGCTCTACTGTTTGGACGAATTTATTATCAACTAATAATCCACAGCTTGAATACATTGGTCTGTGCCTGAAAATTATCAAACTACAAATTAGTCCTTCTCCTTCATGGCAAATACACTAGTGAATAGAAGATGAAGTCCTTTCATGTTAAGAAACGTCTGAATAAGAAATTCTAATCAATGGAAATTGTGAAGACTGCTGCTTAATTTTGTTTTCTAAACGTTTTCTTGAAATATACATTGAACCATCTTCTTATTTGTTGCACAAGAAGCTTTGACATAAGTACGACGAAGAAACTACGATATGTTGCTTTAATATAAGGTTGTAAAAGAAACCCCATTGATGTTCTAGTTTTGGTTTTCCAATTATATTTACCCTGCAAAGATTAACCATGGAGTACTTGATCTGTCAACAGAAGCCATGTCCTTGCTCATCCATTGATACTATATATGCAAAAGCGAAGAGTTAATACATTTTCTCTTCACGTTAAAATTCAAATTTAAAGCTTCGTGTCTACGTTTCTATTACCTGCTCTGAGTCTTGGGACCAATCATGCTCTGTTGATATAACAGTAAAATGTACACTTCCTAATTCAATTGAATACCATGGCTTATCCTTTGCTAGCGTCGGCATTGGAAAATATGTTTCATAAGCAACTCCACATTCTCCTCCTGAATCGGGGGTAGGATATACTGATCCTGTGTTGACATAATCTCTAACATGCATAGTGAATGTATTAGTTTTACAAGCAAGTTTCTTTAAACTAAAATTTATGTTAACTAGTCTTTTCTTCACTACTAAAATAGATTTTTTCATTTCATTAGCTACTTTTGGTTTATTAATAAAGTAACTAGGCAGTCGGGATTATATATGATGCTCGAGAATTTCATACAATGTCTTGTAAACTTTAATACCTTTCATGGTTTCCAATGGCTGTCATGTAAGATACTTTAGATGCAATTGGGCTTATAAGATGTAGGAAGTAATCCCATTCAACTAGAAATCCAGTAGCATAGCTTATGTCACCAATATGGAATATCAAATCTACACTTCCAGTTGAGACTTCACTAGTCATCGCTTCCATCACCGAAAGAGATCCAGGCTATACTTCAATTGGTAACATAAAGTTATATATAACAATTAACCTAACCAGATTATAATTATTTTAGAAGCAATAATCGAATAAATTCGATGACATCAAACAATGTATCTACCTGTATAAAGTGCTCACTGGAGGCATCCCGAGGAGCCTTTCCCATGTCACCAAATGCGAGGAACTTGAGTTCTTTCAGTCCACCAGCAGGTGGAGTGTGGAAGTTAATCCTATTGCTCCATCCAAYTGAATCACTACACTATGTGGGAAAGTTATGAAGTTTTTATCAAGGAAGAGTGCTTAAAAATGATTCAAAAGCTTSCCTTCCRTAACTGTATGAGAACTGTGTTGAAGGAGTGAGCCCCGTCATAACTACTGAATGAATGTAGCCTGGATCATGCCAACCAAAATCTTTTGCTGGACTTGGTAAAATTGAACCTTAGTTCTCAAACAAATGAATTCATACATCAGCAGTCTTATTTTTAATGGGTTTCACTATAAACTAACTGAACTTAACCAGAAATAGATGATCTTGGTAACCTTTATAAATTTGCCATTGTGCCTTCACCTGTTTTAAGACCATTATTTCATCTCCTTTAGCAAAATATATAGTAGTAGTTGTTTAATTTCTATCCAATTGTTATTCAAGAATCTCCCCTAAAGCTCTCTCATAATTGGTTTGCAATACAAATAATAATGGTTGAATACGTAATATATTGAACATTGAGTAGGTGTTCATCCTGAAACGAGTATTTTAAGTTGTTACAGTATGGAAACCGATCTCTTCTTTCTTTACTAACACTACATTGTCTTTAAGTTTCTGATAGAATCCTCTTTGATAGTATAATGACCCATGTTTACATTTTGATGGCATAACACAACTATTGATTAAGTATATTCATTGGTAAGGACAATAAATAATGTTTTTCAGACCGTCTAAATAAATAAAGCAATGTGATAATACAGAGGGAGATAAGATTAATACATACTGCACATGTCATCTTGAGTAAATGTTGTAACTTGTGAAGCTTGAGACTTCCCATCTCCGTATTGGACTTCTTGAGGGTTTTTATCACCACTAACCCACGTTAATCTCATCTGCATATGGATTTCTTTAAGATAATGATGTACCCTAGCTTGAATCGTGAATTGAAACACACTCCCTAACTCAAATCGACAACGATAACATGCAATACACAGCTTATTGTAACAGGATTGCTTCAATTAGAACAAATCGGTAAGAGATTGTCGGCCAATCTTTTACGAAACGGAATTGGTACAATTACCAGAYGTTCGAGAGGTCTGGTCCTCTCCCTGAGCTCTCGCTCTAAACTAATTCACCGAAAACAACCAAAAACAGAATACCCGATGCTAACCGAACAGCTAACTATTTAAACTCGACGAAATTACCAAACTACCCTCAATTACACGATACAAAACAGTAGTTGAACTGCTAACTAACAGTTTCTCCTTCTATACGTGAACCTCAAAGGAGGTTTATCAATACTCCCCCCCAAAACCTTCACCTTGTCCTCAAGGTGACAAGTCGGAAACTGTTGCAGAAGCGGCTCCAAATTCTCCCAAGAAGCTTCAAATTCAGACATACCTTCCCATTTTACTAATACTTCGAATTGACCCACATCACCATTTGGTAATGGTCTCATATCCAAGATGTCTTCGGGAATGGCCTGTAGCACCAAATCTTCAGAAATTTKAGTCGGGAAATCGCAARTCGAAATGCAATTGCCCACARCCTTCCTTAATTGCRAGACATGGAAAACYGGATGGATCTTTGCTGAACTCGGTAATTCCAATCGATATGCTACACTCCCAATCTGCTCCAGCACTTTGTAAGGACCRTAAAATCRAGCTAAAAGCTTAGGACTATTTCCCAGAACCAACGATTTCYRCCTGTAAGGTCGTAACTTCARGAAAACCCAATCTCCTACCAAAAACACCACCTCTTTCCGTCTCAAATCAGCATACTGTTTCATACGAAATTGCGCCTTAAGCAAATGCAATTTCACTTCTTCAAGCATCTCCTCCCTATCCTTCAGCTC